CAACCCTCTCGAAAAAAGTGGAAAAATCAACAGACAGAAAAAAGGAAACAGACAGAAAAAAGGAAGGGGAGAGGGGGCGGTTATATGACGGGGTAAAACAATGAAAGAGCCCATAGATCGGTTCTTGGAGACTTTTATGGCACAGGCAACACAAATGGGTCACATTCGTGCCGAAGATTAGAAGTGTTACAAGAGAGCAACGTACAAAGAAAAGTAGGAAGAGAGATAAGGACGATAGATTTTGATAGGAAAGACGGAGCAAACCACACTAGAGCCTAGAGCCTCCATCAACCACCCACAGTCCCAGAATAAGTAAAGGAATAGAACCATCGTGGAACATCACGATTGGGATGGAAAGAGTAAGAGGGGGGAGGAGAGAGAGATATACTAAATTCTTAATCCAGTGCTCGTGAGTGAGTAAGAACTGGATGGAAGAGCAGCATGACGGCCACACGCCAAATGGAACAATTCAGGACCAAAAAACCCCAGCGAAAAGAGGTACGGGGAGCAGACGACAACTGAGCGCGTCCACCAATTAACACCAAGGGGTGTGTGTGTGTCTGTGTGTGTTTGTTTGTATGTATGTATGTGTATGTATGTATGTGTGTGTGTGCGCGCGCGCGTGCGTGCGTGCGTGCGTGCGCGCCCGCTCGTGCGTGCGTGCGTGTTCATGCTGCACGCGTGTGTGCATGCTGCACGCGTGGGTGCATGTTTGCCTGCTTTGCGCGCACACACATCCTGTTTCAATCTGAAACTAAAAGTAAAACTAAACCCAAATCTTGCAGTTGACACCAACAGAAGCAGACCCTCAAACCAGTCAACCTCTCTCATTCTTTTTAACCCCTACCGAAAAAGGAAAAGGTCAATTATTTCTCCCCTCCGACCACTGACCGAACAAGTGCGCTAAAACTGTCTACAACACTTGGACACTATTATCGTCCAAACTACATGTATCTGGACCGCACTCCTCTGAATGGGGTCTCTAGAATTACCATAGATAACGACATCCGCTGGAGTTGACACACACACCTTCACCCTCGCAGTAACACAGTTGTTCTTAAAGAGAGGAGCTTAACCCGGAAAGTTCCCCACCAGATCCCAATCTACAACAATGAATGAAAAGAGGTTGGATTTCCGCTTGCCCCCTTCTTATCGATATTTAAGGGAAGGAAGGGTCATATGATTTCTGTTATTGTTGTACAAAAGAGCAAATGCGCCAAAAGGTGCCATTTCATATTTTGCGGCTCCGCTACGCTTGGGGGTGTAAAGAGATAAAAGAGAGAGAAAGGGGAAACAAGTTGCTTTCTCTGTTCTGGGCTTTCGCTAATATAGTGTATAATGACTCTTTAAACACAGACGAGGTATTTATGAGGTGACACCTGCCTTATACAGTCGGTGCACGATAAGAGTAAGCCAACAAAGTCATATTAAAAAACGCCTCGAACTTAGCCTAAACCAATGATATCCGTGAGTTATGTATAAACGTCCAACACGGAAAATCCCATCGGATTCTCGGGAGATCAAAAAGAGATCAAAACCGGGACATCCAGCTGATGGGGCTATGGATTTAACTACGACAACAACCTGGCGGTACATCAAACACTGACTTTATTTAATTTTGTTGACAAAGAAACTATTCAGGAGTGGGTCAGGACACCTGTGTGCTGACCACACTACAAAATATAAAAAGACCAGAGTGATTTTGATTTAGTGAGGGT